TTGAGCCACAGCGCCACTTCCGGTGTTTTGGTGGTTCTTTGCAAATAAGAATCTCCTGGACTTTCCTGCCTGGGCTGATTTTGAACTGTAATCCTTAGATCTCAGCCTCCTAAGGAGCGACGCGATGACAGACGTGAGCCACCAGCGCCCTGTATGGAAGCCCATTCTTGATCACTGTTCTGAGCTGCTGACCCTGGGCGAAGCAACCTCTGGGCTGATCTGCTGCTCCTCCCATGAGACCAGGCGTGGCCCACACTGGGGCATCCTCTGCTCTTTCTTTCTGCCAGCGGCCAGCCCTGCACGGGGACATGGGCACCTGAGGCTCAGGCGAGCTGGCTGGCTCGTGGGTAGTGGCTGTATGTCTGTCTCCAGGCTGGTTTGGGATGAATTGCTGAGGACGGGATGCTGGGGCTAGTCTGCTTTCTCAGGACCCCCCCCACTTTCCCAGGGGTCCCAAGCAGAGGGGCGGTCAGGGGCCACAGAAGCAGCTGCCTGTGGCTTGAGATCCCTAGGAGGAGAAAAAAAAAATCTGCCTTCTGGAGATAGCTGGAAGTTGCTAGAAATGACCAGGAGAATTGAAATAACTTTGGATAAGAACACAACCTTGTCATCCCAACAACTTTTTTTGGGGGGGGGTGTTTTTGTTTTTGCAGCACTAGAGTTTGAACTCAGGGCCTTAGCACTTACAAGGTAGGTGCTCTACCACTTGAACCACACCCTCAGCCCTTGTTTTAGTGTTTGGATGAAGTTTTGCATGTTCCCCCCTCCCCCTGTCCCTCCAACACCTGCCTAGACTACCATCCTTCTAGCTAAGTGTCTGTCTGTCCTGGGGCTTGAACTCAGGATCTGGGTGCTTTTATTTATTTAGTTTTTTTGGTAAGTTTATTGGAGATAATAGAGTCTCACAGACTTTCCTGCCTGGGCTGGCTTTGAACTGTGATCCTCAGATCTCAGCCTCCTCAGTAGCTGGATGACAGGCATGAGCCACCAGCGCCTGGCTATGCTAACTTTTTATTTGGCCAGGGGCATTAAAAAAAAAAAAGAACCATCTCTCAAACCCATGATTTCACGAAAGAGTATTTTAACTTGGTGAGGACGCATTGGTGGCTCTATAAGCCTTTGAAGTCTAATTTAAGGTTAACCTCGTGCTGGGGAAAAAGCAGGGTGCAGGGATGGGAAGGGAAGAGAACAGAACGCCGGGGGAGTGGGGGCTCTGTCCTCACTCCTGTATACCATTCTGCTTTAGCCACACCAGACTCAGAACCAGCCATGCCCTGCCCTCTCCCTCCAGCCCCTGCGCCAGCCCCCACCACACCTGTGTGAGCAGGCAGGGCAAAACAGCAAAGCCTGACCCGGGGAGCCTTTGCGTGATGTTCCAGTGTCATGGTTTCTTGCTGTGGGTCACTTGGCAATTTGTCTAGCCGCTCTGCTGTCTCTGGTCTTACTCACAACTTGGAATGTAGGGTGGAGGCTGGAGGCTGGGCGTGGTGGATCACATCTGTAATCTTCCCCGCTGAGCAGGCTGAGATTACAGTTGGAGGTCCACTCCACCCGGCTCAGCCCTGAGGGGCCACATCTTGACCAATAAAAAGTAGGGTACCATCAATCCAACAAGGCAGGAAGGACAAATAGGAAGATCTTGGCTGGGTACTGGATCCTAGCTACTCTGGAGGCTGAGGATCGAGGTACAGAGCCAGCCAGGACAAGAAAGTATGAGAGACTCTTAGCTCCTACCACCCAGCCAAAAGCCAGAAGTGGAGCTAAACAACTCCCAAAAAGCCTAAAAGACCACACCTAGGCCCTGAGTCCAAGCCCCAGTCCTGACACTAAATAAGTAAATAAATAAACTAATAAGGATTCCAATCCATGCCATCCTGGGTAAAATGTGAGATCCTATTTGAAGACAAAAAAAAAATGGAAAGCAAAAAGCATTGGGAATGTGGACAGTGATTCCATTCAAACCTCAGTACCTGGAGGCTGAGGCTTGCAAAACTGCCCAAACTGTGTCTAATACCATTGAATCTGGCCTAGCTTTGCTATGGTTTGCCAATAAGGCATAAAGTGTGTCTCCCCCCTAAATGGAATCCCCTTCCTCCAGGAAGCCCTCTCTGCTTACACCTGCAGTGCTTTCCCTTCCAAATCATTCATGATTGGGCTCCATCGATCATCTCTGTCTGTCCTGTCGGGTGGTGAATTTCCTCCTCTGGTTCCGATTGTGAGGCTAGCCTCCCCACAAAGAGCAGCACTGGGCAGCTCCCCTCTTCTGCTGCCCCCAGTTTGTTGACACACCACAGATGTCCCCTGGAGAGACAGAAGAGGCCTGGCCCGACGTATTGACCCGTCATTTCTAGGTAGTTGTGACTCCATAGTGCTAAGTGAGGGTCTGTTGAGGTATAGACTCAGAGAGGGGGGTGTATTAGGACCCCCCACCATGTCCCAGAGTCCTCTTCAATGTTGTTCACTAACTTCCAGGGTCCTTCACTCATCCATAGTAGGATTGGCCTTTGTGATCTGTTCTATCTACCCAGGTCCCTGACACAGGGATGTCAACCCAGAAGGGGACTTGTTCTGCCCTAGTGCTGTGCATCCATGCTTAAAAGATCAGGGGTCCTCAGGAAACAAAAGGGCATCTATGAACAGGAGTTGGGTGGCAAGGAGAGGGATTCCTACGGGGAGAGGGTGCCAGGCCATGGGGGGCTGGTGTGGGCTGCCTTCCTGCAGTTTGGGTTGACACAGATCACACACACCACACACACACACACACACACACACACACACACACACACACACACACACACACACCTGGCAAACAAAGCAAGAGGAAAGGAGTGAAAGCAGAGGTCTTGGGTGGAGGCCGGATGCCAGGATGCTCTCGGCAGGGCTCTCGGCCAGTTAAGAACACTCCTGGTCAAGGAGACACAAGGACATTCAGGGATTAGGTCTCTCGGCATCTGTGTGCAGCGAAAACTGTCAGCTCCAGAGCTGCTCGAAAGTAGAAATGCCGGCTGCGGTGGTGATGTCACCCAGCCCGGCCTGCCCCTCCTCCCCGGTGCCAGGTCCTGTGGCCCAGTGGGTAAAGCTCAGGGCCTCTCTGCCAGCCTCCCCTCCATCATCCTCCAAGCCCCTCATCCCACCACCAAAACATTCCCCGCCCTGCGTGTGCGTGTGCGCATGTGTGTGTGTGGTCGTTAGGGTGGGTGGTACTGTGTGTAGTAAGCTTAAGAATTCAAATGTAAAGAAATCCTTTGAAGGGAAACTTCAGGGCTATTGTTGAGTCCCAGCACCTCCCTAGCTCCCCGTGTCAGCCTTAACACAGCCCCCCCTTCTGAGAGAGACCCCCATCTGCACCCCACTGCCCACTCCTGAGTGGATGTCTGTGGGAGCTAGGACCCCCCCACCACCCTGAGCTGGGGGGGGGGGATGTGTCCTTAAGCCCAGAGATTGCACCAGCCAGCGCCTAGGAATGGGGCCGCTCCTAGAGGTGGGGTCCCTGGCTGGATTGGGGGGTGGGGGCATCACCTAGAGGGGTGTGGGGACTGTGCAAAAGTGGGGGGGTGTATCAGATCCCCCACACACACCCCCAGGGCTGGCGCCCCCCACCCCGCTCCACTGACCGGGAAGGGAAGGAAGCGGACCCAGAGCCGGCCCGGGAGACCCGGCTGTGGGCGGCGCGCGCCGGGGCCCCGCGGCTCCCCGCGCTGGCTGG